ATTGTCTTTAATTACAATAAATTGTGGAATTCAAAAAGAGGCGTTATCCTTTATCCTGCGGAGGTGGCTAATAGACTTCAGCCAATGAAGGCACCCTCTGAATTTTTTTTTTTAATATAAGAGAAATCGAATAGACAAATAGAAAACAAAAATATTAACATGACCAAGACAGCTAAAGTATATCACCATCTATACAGAGCAGAAGAACTTTCTAACTAATATATCAAAGATACAAGGATTAGTTATCATGTAACAGTTCAAAAAAGTACACTTACAGAAACAAAAAGGACCAATTGAGACCTTAAGACCACAGTTTTTATTGTATATTTTTTCTTGCTTTTCCCTTTTCTATTAAGTTTTCTTTCCTCTTCCTACCTTTTTCTTTGCTCTTGTCTTATCCATTTTTTCCCCTTATTATATAAATAAGAGACATGGACCAAAAGTTTGTTACCGTTAAATATTGGAAAGTTTATGAAGCCAGTTGGAATACCATATAGTTTTTTTGAGAAAACAGTATTATTAGTTAGTTATGATCTCTTTTTCCATTGTTAATTGAAATATAATTTAATCGATCAAACGGGATTTCTGAAAAAGATTTGAAAAAGATTTGAGGACTGCCAATGTCTGGCTATATTGATTTTGACCGCAACAAAACAGTGTATAGCAAAACTAATATGTACATAATTAATTGCCTATTCAAATGTAAAAGGGCAGTGACCGGATTTTGATTAAGTCTAATATCTATAACTGCATAAATGGTATTAAATGCCCATATCCACAATGGTTTAACTAATGGGCAGTCCCACCATGCATATATGTACCTGGACACGAGCCACATCTCCAGACATCTACTGACTTAGCCTGATAATTGGCATCCCAGTTTTCATGGAAAATGCATACGGATCGCAGTTTTTATAGAGTCAGTCAGCGAGAAATCTTTTGCATTATAGACAGGTGCTCTCGAAGACACAGATTAGGGATTTACATTTTTGTCAATCTTGTTGGAGTGAAGTACCATCTATGAACTACCTTAAAATGGCACTCAAAGTTAGACAGTGTATATATATTTACATTTATTAAAGAGGCTAGCCAGTCATTAAAGGGAATCACCACATTTAATTCCTTCTCCCAGATGTTAATCAGTTTGTATGGTATTATCTTGGTTTCATCAAGCAAAGAGTTAGCACAGAAGTAACCTTAGAAAGCTTTCGATAACAGAATAAAGCTTCCAATTTCTTAGCGAAGGGAAAAGAAGTTGGAATAACACATTTCTGTATGAAATGTTTGATACGAAGATAAGTAAATATCTCTCTAGGAGAAATATGTATATTATCAACAATCTGTTGAAAAGACAAAATATTATCTCCTTGCATAAGGTCTGAAATACTTAGAGAGTCAATATTACCCCAAGAGGTCAATGAAAAATCCTCTATTATACCCTCCAAAATATTAAGACTACACGATCTTGATATTAGTTGTACAATATTCAAAATTTTCTTAATTTCTGCCCAATCCTCTAGAGTTTGAAACAACGTGGAAGGAAACCAAATGTTTGGCTCTTTCGAAATCTCTTTAATATCCATCCACATATAATGATATAGTCTAGAGGAGTGGGCAGCTTCTGACTATTATAAACCATGGCTCCCTGCGAACCTGTGGATCTTGAAGAATATGAATATGACGGATAATATTTGCAAAATACGTATAAGTAATACTAGGAAAGCCAAGACCACCTTGAGATAATTTTTTGATTTATTCTAGGTCTTTTATTCTTCCAAATAAATTTATTGAAACTTGATTGAATCTTTAATAGATATAAATAGCAGAAAGAAAAGGATCCAATTGCTGTTACCAGGAGATAGTTATAGCCACTTCACGTACTGCAGGGAATATGTCAACATATATCTATATTGAAATATAAATTGATAATAAAATATGGATTAAAATTAAAAAAATTAAAAAAAAAAAAAAAGGTACATTCGCTATCATATCAACCATTTGGGTTATGAAAATAGTCTCTGTAAATGGAAAATGATAAAAGGAAAAAAGAATGATAAAAGTCCTTAATATATATAAAACATAAAATGGTTAGCTAAATGTTTCAAATAAGTCTCTTGAGTCCATTGGGCTGTATGCTCCTATTTAGATAAGGCTAAAATACCCTTCTATTTTGGAAGCAGGGAAATCTAACCAGTAGGAGCAAATGTGTTAATCTAGTGCCACATTGAGATAATCAGCAACAATGTGATACACATAAAATGACTCCGTCCGATATACTAGTGAAATGTATCGAAGTGTAATAAACTTCTCTACATACAGATCAGATATTTCAGTCAGTGTAAAAAACTTTCCAACTCCAGCAGTTAGTTTCTATAATAAGAAAGGTAGCAACGTGTCTTCCGAAAAAAACACAATTTATTGTAAAACAAAATTAGCATAAAATTTATTAGCATAAAAAATACATTCACTGATGGCTACAAAAGAATGGGAACCTTATCCGGAGTAACACCACCTTCAGTTCAGATCATCTGCCGTTAGCTGACTGTCAAAAAGCCGTCTTTCTGTGTGTTTAGAAGCTGAAGGGGAGACTTGCCGCGTGCGTTCCACTTCGATTCAATTTGCGTTCCAATCAGTGTCTGTTCCGGTGGGATGCAACCTTACGCGTTTCGTGACCGCCTGTCACTTCATCAGAGGAATGCATCTTTCGTTTAGAGCTGGATTTTTATACCCTGTGGGCTTGTTAATCCTATTAACCCTTGTGTTAAATGATTCCTACATTGTACTACATTATTAATCACATTCTTAAAACCATTATAAGACATGTAATCTCATCAATATATACCAAAGGAAATCTCATGAGTATATCAATATATAAAAATACATGTAAAGAAAAAATTAGGATTAAAATATAATAAAATAAAATTAAAATAAAATATCCCAGTAATTAAAACATCATGCTTGTGCAAATAGAAAAAGCCATAAAAGACAATGTTGAAAGACAATATTGGGAACAATATTAAAAACAATAGTATAAAACACCTATTTTGTTTTGTAATAGATATTTGATCTTAATAAAGAAAGTTAACCCCTTAAGGACACAACTTCTGGAATAACATGGAATCATGACGGAATATTTCCGTCATGTGTCCTTAAGTGGTTAAAATGTTACCATAAATATTTTTATAGTGACTCATATGTGTCCAAATAGGAGATGAAAATTGAAAGAAGAATACCATAAAGATAAAATAAAATAAAATGAAAGTAGAAAAATAATAAAAAACCATAAAAATTCTCATAAAAAAAGCGTTCAGTTCGAAATCCAAATTTAACCCTTTCGGTTCTAAAGTGTCCAACTGGAATATCCACTTAGCTTCGGCTCTATCTAAAGATTTTTCTAGATTCCCCCCTCTCCAATGCAACTTAATTTTTTCAATAGTAATCCTTCTGGATTACTTGAATGTGTAGTCTGATAATGTTTTGAGAGATTGTGTGTTGGGAGACTTTTCTTGATATTCCTAATATGTTCAGATAACCTTGTTTTAAACATCCGTTTAGTTCTACCAATATAATATTTGCCACAAGGGCATATTAGAAGATATATAACTCCACAGGTGTTGCAGTTCAAATTTTCTTTTATTTTAAAAATTTCTTCAGTTGTTGTATGTTTAAATTCAGAAATCTTAGATGCTTGCATTGTATTATTCTTGCAGCCCATGCATTTCCCGCATTTTTGGAACCCATTCTCAGTTCTATCTAGATTCTTATTTTCCTTTTTGTCTTCTTTTACAGTAGGAGCAATCACTGTTTTTAAGTTAGGTGCCCTAGAATATATTACCTTTGGTTTATTCCCCAGAATATTCTCCAGAATTGGATCCTCTCTTAAGATATTCCAATGTTTGTTCAAAATTTTCTTAAGTTGGAAAGATTGGTTACTATATTGAGTAATAAAAGTAGGAATTTCCATGTTATTCTGAGGTTTTTTAGTCCTATTGAATAAAGTCTCTTCTCTAGGGATTTCAATTGCTCTCTTCAGTGCATCCTCTACTGTATCTACCGCATATCCTTTATCCAGAAATTGTTTTTTCATTATTTCCATTTGGGACTTGCATGTTTCAATCTCTGTGCAGTTTCGCCTTATTCTTCTGAACTGGCTAAATGGAATATTCTGTAGCCATGTTTTTTTATGGTAACTGTCAAAGGGTATAAAGCTATTACAATCTACTGGTTTTTTGAATGTTTTTGTATGGATAGTGCCTTCTTTTATGTAGATCTCTAAATCCAGGAATTCTATTTTCTCTTTTGAGTGTTGAAAAGTAAATTTTAGGTTGTATGGATTAAAATTTAGATAATGCTTAAATAGCTCTAGGGATGTTAAATCACCTTTCCAAATGAAGATGCAATCGTCTATGTATCTCTGCCATAGGACCAGGTTTGCCACTGCTGGGGAATTGTTCCAGATAAATTCATCCTCCCACTTCCCCATAAAAAGATTCGCATAGCTAGGTGCAAACCTGGTACCCATGCAGTCCCTTCTATTTGGAGGTAAAACACTCCTTCTGAACAGAAGAAATTGTGGCTCAGGATGAACGCTATACACTCCACCAAATAGTTTATTTGATCATTCTTCAACTCGGAATGGACAGCCAGATTATATTGTATGGCTTCACAGCCTTGTAGATGTTCTATTATGGTATATAGAGATGTTACATCTGCTGTTACCAGATAAAATTGTTCTTCCCATTGTATGTCCTTCAAAATATGGATAATTTGGGTGGTGTCTCTAAGGTAGGATTTTAGTTTACTAACTACCGGTTGTAGAAACTGGTCCACATATTCAGAGAGATTTGAGGTTAATGAACCAATCCCTGAAATTATCGGTCTACCTGGAGGATTGGTTAACCTCTTGTGAATCTTCGGTAGATGATAAAAGACCGCTAATCTTGGAAATTTGCATAGGACATAATCTAATTCTCTTTTGTTCAGAAATCCTCGTTCCATACCCTCATTTAGCAATTCCTTAAGTTCATCCATAAATTTTTGACTTGGGTTCTCCTTCAATTTCACATAGGTGTCCATATCACTAAGAAGTCTCCTATTTTCTTCATCATAATTATGCCTATCCATTACAACTACTCCTCCTCCTTTGTCCGCTGCCTTTATGATTATCTCTTTGTCATGCATAAGAGATCTTAAGGCTTTCCTTTCCTTTTTCGTAAGGTTATCTTTTGGATTTGGGTTAATCTTCATGGATCTAAGATCCTTATCGACCATCCTCTAAAAAACCCTAATATTGTCACTTTTCACCTGTTGTGGGTAGAAAGTAGATTTGGGGTGGAAGTTGGTATGTATATAATTTTCTTCCATTTTTTGATTGGAGAACTGATTTTCTAAAAAGAAACGTTTGACTGTCAGTTTTCTTATAAACTTATGTACATCAATAAACATGTTGAATTTCTGGTTCTGTGAATTCGGGACAAATTTAAGTCCCTTTTTGAGGAGTGATATTTCACTATCATCTAACATATGTTTGGATAAATTAAATATATTAGTTGATGGTTCTTCTTCAATCAATTTTGGTCTCTCCTTTATTCCTCCTCTTCTTCTCTTCTTGGTCTTTTTCTTTCCACTGGCGACCAATGAGGATCCCTTCTCTCTCTCTCTCTAGAGCTATTTAAGCATTATCTAAATTTTAATGCATACAACCTAAAATTTACTTTTCAACACTCAAAAGAGAAAATGAATTCCTGGATTTAGAGATCTACATAAAAGAAGGCACTATCCATACAAAAACATTCAAAAAAACAGTAGATTGTAATAGCTTTATACCCTTTGACAGTTACCATAAAAAAACATGGCTACAGAATATTCCATTTAGCCAGTTCAGAAGAATAAGGCGAAACTGCTCAGAGATTGAAACATGCAAGTCCCAAATGGAAGTAATGAAAAAACAATTTCTGGATAAAGGATATGCGGTAGATACAGTAGAGGATGCACTGAAGAGAGCAATTGAAATCCCTAGAGAAGAGACTTTATTCAATAGGACTAAAAAACCTCAGAATAACATGGAAATTCCTACTTTTATTACTCAATATAGTAACCAATCTTTCCAACTTAAGAAAATTTTGAACAAACATTGGAATATCTTAAGAGAGGATCCAATTCTGGAGAATATTCTGGGGAATAAACCAAAGGTAATATATTCTAGGGCACCTAACTTAAAAACAGTGATTGCTCCTACTGTAAAAGAAGACAAAAAGGAAAATAAGAATCTAGATAGAACTGAGAATGGGTTCCAAAAATGCGGGAAATGCATGGGCTGCAAGAATAATACAATGCAAGCATCTAAGATTTCTGAATTTAAACATACAACAACTGAAGAAATTTTTAAAATAAAAGAAAATTTGAACTGCAACACCTGTGGAGTTATATATCTTCTAATATGCCCTTGTGGCAAATATTATATTGGTAGAACTAAACGGATGTTTAAAACAAGGTTATCTGAACATATTAGGAATATCAAGAAAAGTCTCCCAACACACAATCTCTCAAAACATTATCAGACTACACATTCAAGTAATCCAGAAGGATTACAATTTATAGCTATTGAAAAAATTAAGTTGCATTGGAGAGGGGGGAATCTAGAAAAATCTTTAGATAGAGCCGAAGCTAAGTGGATATTCCAGTTGGACACTTTAGAACCGAAAGGGTTAAATTTGGATTTCGAACTGAACGCTTTTTTATGAGAATTTTTATGGTTTTTTATTATTTTTCTACTTTCATTTTATTTTATTTTATCTTTATGGTATTCTTCTTTCAATTTTCATCTCCTATTTGGACACATATGAGTCACTATAAAAATATTTATGGTAACATTTTAACTTTCTTTATTAAGATCAAATATCTATTACAAAACAAAATAGGTGTTTTATACTATTGTTTTTAATATTGTTCCCAATATTGTCTTTCAACATTGTCTTTTATGGCTTTTTCTATTTGCACAAGCATGATGTTTTAATTACTGGGATATTTTATTTTAATTTTATTTTATTATATTTTAATCCTAATTTTTTCTTTACATGTATTTTTATATATTGATATACTCATGAGATTTCCTTTGGTATATATTGATGAGATTACATGTCTTATAATGGTTTTAAGAATGTGATTAATAATGTAGTACAATGTAGGAATCATTTAACACAAGGGTTAATAGGATTAACAAGCCCACAGGGTATAAAAATCCAGCTCTAAACGAAAGATGCATTCCTCTGATGAAGTGACAGGCGGTCACGAAACGCGTAAGGTTGCATCCCACCGGAACAGACACTGATTGGAACGCAAATTGAATCGAAGTGGAACGCACGCGGCAAGTCTCCCCTTCAGCTTCTAAACACACAGAATCCTGCAGCTGTCTTCAAAGCCGGCTTTTTGACAGTCAGCTAACGGCAGATGATCTGAACTGAAGGTGGTGTTACTCCGGATAAGGTTCCCATTTTATGCTAATAAATTTTATGCTAATTTTGTTTTACAATAAATCGTGTTTTTTTCGGAAGACACGTTGCTACCTTTCTTATTATAGAAACTAACTGCTGGAGTTGGAAAGTTTTTTACACTGACTGAAATATCTGATCTGTATGTAGAGAAGTTTATTACACTTCGATACATTTCACTAGTATATCGGACGGAGTCATTTTATGTGTATCACATTGTTGCTGATTATCTCAATGTGGCACTAGATTAACACATTTGCTCCTACTGGTTAGATTTCCCTGCTTCCAAAATAGAAGGGTATTTTAGCCTTATCTAAATAGGAGCATACAGCCCAATGGACTCAAGAGACTTATTTGAAACATTTAGCTAACCATTTTATGTTTTATATATATTAAGGACTTTTCTCATTCTTTTTTGCTTTTATCATTTTCCATTTACAGAGACTATTTTCATAACCCAAATGGTTGATATGGTTTTATGTCAATACCATTGCGTTTAATTCGAATACCATATAACGCTGTTTAGCGAATTTACCCTTTTTTTTTTTTTTTTGTAATTTTAATCCATATTTTATTATCAATTTATATTTCAATATAGATATATGTTGACATATTCCCTGCAGTACGTGAAGTGGCTATAACTATCTCCTGGTAACAGCAATTGGATCTTTTTCTTTTTGCTATTTATATCTATTTTAGTATTTCTCTTAACCTTAGGTGTGGGTTATATTTTCTGGGATTTGAGAAGTTGTATGCCTCTTTTGTGAGAACACTATATAACCTTCCCATTTATCAGATAGGATTGATATTCTTTTCTGGTGATTTTTTACTTGATTGAATCTTTGCTAACGAAGGCTTAGACATTTTTAGTGGAACCATAGAGAAAAGATATAGCCACTTAGGTAAGATATAGGAATTTATCATGTTAATTCTACCTATCCACGAGGATTCCAGATTTTGCCATTTTTTTAATTTAAGGTTCATATTTTTTTCATTAGAATTAAAACATTTCTCTCCATTATAGTCGGAATACTTACAGGGAACGTTAGACCCAAATAATTTAATTCCTTGTCTGTCCAGATGAATTTATAATTCTGGGATAGGTTATCAACCAAGTCTGAAGGCATATTAATGGTTAAGGCTATTGATTGAGATATTTAACTTAAAATTAGATATACTAGAGTATCTCTCAATTTCAAACATTAAAAGGCCAAAGTGATTTTTCAGGAGAAGACAAGGTGATTAAACCATCATCCGCATATAAAGAAATATTAGCATCAAGTAATTTTAATTTGACACTGCTAATTAATAGGTTATTCCTAATATTAATAGCTAAAGGTTCAAGTGACAAAATATAGAATAAAGGCGAAAGGGGGCACCCCTGTCTAGTACCATTTTTGAGATCAAACCATCCTGCAGTTATATTCGGACCCACTGTTCTAGCTGAAGGGGAGGAATATAGGGCTAAAATAGCACCATATATCCATCCTGTGAATCCGAATGCCTTCAGGACTTCACTTAAATATCCCCACCTGACCCTGTCAAACGCTTTTTCGGCATCTAGTGACAGGGCCAGGAGGGGGAACATTGTATCTATTTGACCAGTCAATACTGTCAAGCAATCTATGGGAGTTATTTGATGCCCATCTTCCAGGGATAAACCCGATCTGGTCAGGATGAATCAATCAGTTTCGGTATAGTACTTTTTATTCTCTCGGCAATAATGGCTGAATATAACTTCATGTCTACATTAATTAACGCAATTGGTCTATAATTACACGGGTCTGAACTGTCCTTATTCTGTTTCAATATAGGAACAAGATTAGATTGTAGCAATTCTTTTGGAATGGTGTTATTTTCAGCCAATTGATTAAAGAATTGAGTAATAGGATTTAATAAATGTGATTTCATATATTTGTAATATAAAATTTGTGAAGCCATCGGGCCCCGGAGTTTTATTCATGGGCAGTCTATTTGAAACTTAACTTCCTCCATGGAAATTTTCTTATTTAAAAATTACCAGATCTTGTAAGGTAATTTTCGGAATTATTGTATTATGTAAGTAATTATGAATATCCTTTGTTTTAGGATGTAAATTCAAGTTATATAATTCTTGATAAAATTTATAAAATTTTTGACCTATTAGGGAAGGGGTAGAATAAACTAATTGGTCAATGGCCAGTTTTTCTACCCTATTCCTCGCATATTGATTTTGAAGTCTTTTTGTTAAGTTTTTATTGGCTCTATTACCCGTATGATAATTATTTAACTTTAACTTAGTTATATTGGACTTAATCTTTTCTTCCTCCTTTAAATTTGTTGTTTTAAATAGCTTAAACGAGTCCTCAACTCTGGGGTAGAATATTGTTTATTTAGATGGGAACAAGAGTAGAATTCAATATATAAGTCCTTTAAATTCTTACCGTTCCTTTTCTTATGAATATGACCTATTTTAATTAAATAGCCCCTCATAACAGATTTATGCGTACACCAATTAATCATAGGGGAAGTGTCCACTGGATTATTTTCAGACCAAAAATATTCTAATAGCTTAGACAGCTCCTCCCCATTATAATCGTTTTTTAATAAGGGAGTCATTCAGTCTCCAGGTGGTACGAGACAGTGGTGGATTTTTACCAAGATCAAATAATAAAAAAAAATATTATCGGACCAAGGATTTTCCTTAATCTCAATAGAGTTAAAAAGAGGGATTGTATTTGAATCAACTAGACAATAATCAATCCTTGAATAGGTACCATGTACACTAGAAAAATGGGAATA